ATTTTTTTTTTAAATAAAATACGTCGGGACCTTCATCCATGAATATTACACAAGAGGAAGAAATTTCAACAATAGACAAGTGAGCCAAGATGCAAACAGTATCATATATCCCGCTTCTTGAAACCTAAGTCTTGGAAAGTGTCTGTCTCATTCTCTTTTCATTCATTGTTCCTGGCAAGCTGACAGAACCGCCTGATGCACTGTTACAGTAGCTCACCCAAACGACTTCTAATCAGCCACTTAAACATTTATGCATTTCAAAACTCGATCTCAGAACATAATACTAAACATAAATACTTACTATTTAAAGGCAGACATTCTTCTATTATACAGATTTCCTTCTTTTTATGCACACTCCACACACACCCCCAACCCCACTACCCTGAGAAATGTGAAAGCTATTCCATTCAAAGCTCAATGACGCTTTTCCCCCCATATAGGAAAAAAACTCAAACGATTATGACAAAGATCCTGAGTGAGTCATAAGAGAATGCCCTTCAATTGTGGAGGCATGACTAACATTTGAATATGGTAATTGCCACACAAGCAAAGTAAACCATTTTATTTGGTTGATTGCAAAATATATAGTCATCTATTTTTCCATACCCCAAAAATATAAATTTGAAGAGTTATTCATGTCAGTATGATAGGCTCTTACTTTTTTACATACTGCTAAGTCCATTTAGAAAATGGGCAAAAAATAATGGTAAGTAGCAAGCAGCACCCTTTCCATAATCCCCATTTATCTTGATGTTTTAAAAAAAGAAATCTCATTGTTTTTACATTTTAAGGCAACCACACCATGTGCTTATATGCCAATATTTTAATAATAATACATTTTGCTTGATAAATATGATACATGCATAAAGAAATATGCAGATGTTTTATTACCAAAAAAGCAACTGATTCTGCTTGTGAGAGAGCTAGAGAAGACTTTTTAAAACGTAAACGACATTTAAGCCAAGCATTAAAGGGTAGTAAAAGTTTGTCACATGGAAAAAAGTAGGATCCTTGTCTTTTTGTTCTTTGTCCATTGCCCAGCCATGCTCTAGGCACTCACTTAGAGCAGCATAATTGATTGTAGTTATTTTTCAACTTATTTGGGGTCCTCATTAGAGTAGTTTTACTCAAGAGTAGGACTTTCATATATTTTTCTTTACATCTCAGTACTCAGAAGGCATTCAACAAAAAGGTTTCCCTTTAAAAGAGCTTTTCTTATAAACTCAAACAGACAGACTCTATTCTCAAAGTCATTGATAAAAACCATAAAATAGTCAGCAATTTTCCTAAAATGGGAGAACTACCAAAAAGAAAAAAAAAAGATCCATTAAAACATTGGTCCATTCTCCCTGCCCCAAATTTCCTGCTTTTATCCTTGGGATGCATTATGCCAGAATCTATGTGTATACATACAAGTACACACATACATATACACACACATATGTGAATTCTTTGACGTAAGATTGATTTGTTATTTATATTTAACTTTCAGTTTTTTAACATAAACCAATAGCTTGTAAAGACAAATGACCCAGAAAAGGATCAAGTCTGATATTTGCTGTGGAAAATTCATGCACTAACAATACAGAATTAGGATAAAGTTAGGACCTTTGTGGAAGAAGAGTCAATAAGCTCCCACAGTTCACCTGCTTCTAAAAGAACACTGTAGTCAGAAGATTGACGTTTGAATCTAGACTCTGCCATTATCTGTGTAACACTGGGAAACTCACTCAAACCCTGTGGTACTGTTCTCTCCTCTGTGAAATGGAGCGGACACACTGCTGTTCAGAGCATGAGATGGGAAGAAGAGAGCATGGATGTCCCATAGCAGCTTCTTACTCCATGCAGCCTAAGCAACTAGTTTCCCTGAAGAGCACCATGTCAGACCACTTGTCTCAAGAGGAAAGACTCCAAACAGGACAGTAAAAGATCCTACCCAAAGGAATCACAACCACTGCCTCTTCCCACTGGTAAGGTTCATGACCTGGACACAAAGACTGAACGTAGGCATGTGGAAGGCAGAAATACCTTGCAATTTATTCATTTATTTATTTATTTTGCTTCCTCTGTTCATTCTAAATTTCCCTATGTCAAATTAACCATGGAAAAAGGAGTCTTACCTTAGTTTGCTGTCCCTGAACAATTTAACTGTACTCTGGTCTGGGGCTACAATGGAAGGATGGCCACATGTATTTGCTGATGTCAACTGGACAAAGCTCAGCCAGCCAGGCACAAGAGAGGGCTTTCCCAGAGAAAATGCTGTTCTGCATTTACCACCTCTGGAACTAAAGCTGCTTTCACTCATTCTACACTCTGTAAAAGGCTTTTATTATATGCTTCCCTCCTTTGTAATACAGCCCCCCCCCTTTTTGGGAAAAAATCTGCAGTAATAAGCAAGCTAGTCTTTTAACAGAAGATAAACAGTGCAGTGAACTTCAAACCACTCTACTTTGTTCCACCCAACCACAGAGCATTCCATATTGCTTTCATTTCTTTTCTTCCCATTTCTGTTAATAGTTATTTTTAAAGAATTACAACAGCAGCAGATCAATAATGCCTACAGATGTTATGCAAGTATTAGGCCACACTCTATGCAGAGAAACATGTAAACAGTTAATGGGCTGAGGTAATTTATAATCCTCCTTTTACCAAATGCATTTTATCTATAATACCACTTGCATAACAGATGATTCACTTAAAACCTCACTACAGAAAGTGGCTGTCAGTTAAACATCATCTCCACCAACAATAGATGTATACAGAGCATCTACTATGTATCTTTAGGATACTGCTAGGTCTACATGTAAGCAAGTATTAAAGAAGAAAAGAATAAATAAATAATTTAATCTTCTTCCTCTTACATTATTCATTTTCTTCTACCATCCTTCTTTCTCTCTTCTATGAAGACACCTGTTTGCTTTCCCTCCTCTCACCTTCTAGGTTAAGTCAAAGAGTGCTCCTGAATTAACTCCTCCAACTTGCTTTGTTCTTCCCGTGGGTCAGGAGCAGCTATGAAGAAGGCTCAAAGACTGATAACATCTCAGCCTCTTTGTTCTCCTAGAGCTGGACGACAGTTGAGTATCGTAGGGCAAGAGGCTCAAGTTATCCAGCCTAAGAATGACCCATTAGGTTTACTTTGGAATTATGGGGCATCAGGGGCCCAGGATCTAAGCATAACCTCCTTACCTGTTTATGTCCTCAGGACATTTGTGATTTTGCATGGTTATAGGGTTGGAATTAGAAATCTTGCCATATTACTATTTTCTGTGACTTTCTTACTCGTGTGTGTGTGTGTGTGTGTGTGTGTGCACGCGCGTGCGCGCGTTTTGAAACAATATCTCACTCTGTTACCCAGGCTGGAATTAAGTGGTGCAATCATCGCTCACTGCAGCTTCAGCCTTTAGGGCTCAAGTGATCCTCCTGCCTTGGCCTCCCAAGTAGCTGGAACTACAGGTGCATGCCACCATGCCTGATTAATTTTTTTTTTTTTTGGTTAAAGATGGGGGTCTCACCATGTTGACCAAGCGGGTCTCAAATTCTGGGTCTCAAGTGATCCTCTCACCTGAGCCTCCCAAAGTGCTTCTTACCATATTATAGATGCATACACTACCCCTTTTAACACGGGTATCTTTTATCACCTTCACCTACCATTCCCTGAACAACTGATGAAGGCAAGAGAAGAAACTTAAGATTTCACAGAACAAGAATTTATTTACAAATAAGCAAAGGAGACTTAAAAATAGGTGAAAAATAATTATCTAAAAATCCATTATAATCTGCTTTGAACTAGAGTACTCACCATTAATATCTCCATCCTTACTACAGCTATATAAGTGGCACATTAATAATGAAAAAGTTAAATATAATTCTAAAGACCCCAATAAGTGATCCCAAATATCCCATAAGTTTTACAAATATTTAGCTTCTGCCAATTTTTATTACAACTCTTATTCTGAAATTTTAAAAATGAGGTTTCACAATTTACAGCAGTGATGGCTATCTTCTTTAATATCTACTAGGGACCTGTTTTATTAATTTTCTATCAGGAATATTATGTTCTGAAATATTTGCCTACCAAAGTAATTTTTTAAAGTAAATTTTGTTTATATCTAAAACCAAAAATAGACAGTGTGCTTCCTCTCTATTTTTCATTTGCTATTCAGTCCCTCTATGTTTCTGACCTTAGCCTGTCCATTTGTCCCCTCCCTAAATTTACAAGGAAAAAAAATATATATATATATATGTACATGGTTGCTAATATATACAGCTAATACTATGTGTATATAATACTATGTGTGTGTATATATAGCTAATACTATACATATACATACACATACACATGTATATATGTATGTATATGTATAGTATTAGTTATATATATTAGCAAGCATTCACAAATCTTAGATATTTAAGTGATAAGGATACAGTTTGTAAAGTAAGTAGAATTCAATTATTTAACAGATAAAACAAAACTGAAAGAGCCCTTGAAAATATTCATCACACTTCCCCACCTTCACATGGGATGCTTTTCAACTTCCGGTGTATTATTCATAGCGATAGAGGAAGCAAACATACAAAAGATTTATGGAAGTATTGGGGTCAAATATGACTAATTCCAAAGAGTTTCCTCCAGGGCCCAATGTGTCTAGGTCCCCAAAGTACATGTATCAAGCTTCAATTCCACTGACAGAATCCCAAATCTGACTGTTGGGGGAAAAGTACAATTCCTCGGGACTTGAGTTGCTTGGCCTGGTGCCTTGATGCACATTTAGCCATGTAGTTAATCTCCCAGAGCTGCACCCACTGTGGCATGCCCGCTATTCTTTACCATCTGGAGCCTGGAGTTAGTATTAGCTTGAAGCACACATGCAAGAGAAAAGGGAAGAAAAGAAAAAAAGAACCCTCATTCACATTTAACTGAAATTGGTGACTGAACAATGCACTATGAGGCCTAGGCTTTTACACATGTAAGAAAGGGGAGAAAAAGGGTAAGTACAAACCTTCTCCTTTGTTTTCTGGTTCTCTGCTCTAAGGTCTTCATATTCGCCTATTGCTAAAAGAAAAAAGGAAAGCAAAATTACAACATTGTCAAAAGTTTACTGCAGGAAGCCTGGGAACCCAACTAACCCCCACTGTCTTCTTACTAGGTTGAAGCAGGGTAGGGAAGAGGCTGCAGAAAAGGGGCTTCTGCTTTTCTTTTTATTTTGTACTGGCAGGGTCTCACTATGTTGCCCAGGCTGGTCTCAAAACTCCTGGGCTCAAGTGATCCTCCTTCCTTGGCCTCTCAAAATGTGATTACAGGTGTGAGCCACCAAACCCAGCCAGCCTACTATTTTTAAGAGTCAGGAAGAAAAAGCAGACATGAGCCCATGAAGCTAAATTTCAGTTCTCCCTAGGTCATTAGGAACACCCATGAGCCAGCAGAGGTGACATATGACAAGGCTCTTTTCCTTTCTGATGCTCAGCATTTGGTCATGTGAAAGGATTTAGGCAGATGTTTCCTGAAGTTCCACCCAGCACTATTAGTCTGTGATACTATAATGAGTTGTATTTAGAAAATCAGCTTCTAGAAAGTAGAGCAGGTTTGCACATTCGACTCAAGGTCACACGTCTGCTTTATTCACAAAGCAAAAAATTTGTGAAGGATTCATCTAAGAACAACTATTTTCAGATGAGATTGTCAGTCATCAAGTCATGACCAGAAATTCAGACTCATTTCACTAAATGGGGAAGATATGTTAAACTGTTTGGAAACATTACCCACTAAATAGGGAGGAAAGTTGTGTACTTAAAAATCCTTTATTGCCAAAAAAAAAAAAAAAAAAAAAACTAAATCCCCACATTCATCTTTAATCAAAGCATCATTTTCAGGTATCCTCACAGTTGAGAATATAAAGTTTTCAACACATTATATGAGAAGAAAAGAATCACCTAAGATCAATGACAGAGCAGAACAGCTGTAGGAAGTCTAAAATTGCAGCTCGCCCCAGGGCCAGCAGCTTGACTGGCACCAGAAACTCCGTGAATCATCAGGTTGGTTTTTTTTTTTTTTTTTTTTTTTAAGAGACAAGATTGTGTTCTGTCACTTAGGCTGGAGTGCACTGGTGCCATCACAGCTCACTGCAGTTTCAAACTCCTTGTCTCAAACAATATACCTCAGCCTCCTGAGCAGCTGGAACCATAGGCACATGCTACCATGCCCAGCTAAATTTTTAAAATTTCTTGTAGAGATAGGGTCTTACTATATTGCCCAGGCTGGTCACAATATGAACATTCATCTTTATGGATTTATCTACAAAAAAACAAAAACCAGTTTTTCTTTAAAAAAAAAAAAGACCAGAGTTTCCTATTTCTATGCATAATCTAGAAACAGAAATAAAAAATCTGAAACCAGTGGCTGCAAGAACATCCCCGATAATCTGGTCCTTAATTCTAGAAATGTATGATTCTATCCACTGGGACAAAGAACACCCCAGAAACAGACAATTAATATGGTAAAGCACATGCCTTGTTTTCTCCTATGGTGACTGAAAGGGTTCAGAACGGCTACTGTGATGGTGGTACCAAAGTCCTAAAATCCTAATTCAAACTGGCAAATATTTATGAGATTATACAATCAATGTCTGGAAGTTGTACTAGTATGCCAGGACTAATCAAACAAGAATTAATGGACAATTTTTTGAAGCCACATTCCAAAAGAATCCTTGAGAATTAGCCCCTAAAATAGGTGAATGTGTACACGTAAAGATATAGTTCTTCCGAAAATAATTACATTTACAGGCTGGGCGTGGCAGGTCACGCCTGTATTCCCAGAACTTTGGGAGACTAAGGTGAGCAGATCACTTGAGGTCAGGAGTTCAAGACCAGCCTGGCCAACAAGGCGGAACCCTGTCTCTACTGAAAGTACAAAAATTAGCCAGACGTGGAGGCATTCACCTGTAGTTCCAGATACTTAGGAGGCTAAGGTAGGATAATTGTGTGAACCCAGGAAGCAGAGGCTGCAGTGAGTGGAGAATGCACCACTGCACTCCAACCTGGGCAACAGAGCAAGACTCTGTCTCAAAAAAAAAAAAAAAAAAAAAAAAAAAAAAAAAAAAAAAAAAAAAAAAAAAAAAAAAAAAAAAAAAAAAAAAAAAAAAAAAAAAAAAAAAAAAAAAAAAAAAAAAAAAAAAAAAAAAAAAAAAAAAAAAAAAAAAAAAAATTTTTCAACAGAAAAAGATTTGACTGACCTAGAATGAAGCCCTCTGCACACCAGCTCTTCATCAGCCCCCACCACACACACCCCAAGAGCTAAGTATAAACTAAATTCTCTGGAGCTGAAAAACAAATGAAACGTGTCCCTATCTTTTTAACAGAAAGAAACAAGAACTAATAAGAACTTCTAAAAATACTAACTACACCACTGCTGGGTAGTCTGTGGTCCCATATCTTATCACTATATTGTTTCAAAAAATAGATACATAAATACTTTATTAAGAGACTCTGATTTTTATTAAGAGACTTTGATTTTAGGTTACTTGACATTTAAAAGTATCTATAAAGTTGAAAAACCAAAATTGATTTAATATTCTATTATTGGTGACCTACTTTGTAGACATACAAAGCGAACAACAAAGACTTATAAAACCATGATCTCATGTTGATATTAAGACATTTTTTCAGAGAGATCCAAGATGGCTGATCACTAGCAGCTTGGGATTGTAGCTCCCAGTGAAAGTGCAGAGAACGAGAGGACGCCACACTTTCAGATGAATTTTTGTTGTTCACGTACCAGGAGATTCCCAGCGGAGGAGCCCCACGGGTTGCCAGCGCGACTCTTGTGGCTGGCGAGGCAGTTTTGCCGCTGCCTTGGTGCGGCGGTTCTTCGTGCAGTCAGAAAAGCACCATCAATCTTAACGCCGCTGTTTTGGACGGCGCAGTGGGTTGCTCAGATTTTAGCGCCGGGAATCAGCAAGTTGGACGTCCATTTAGAAACCCAACTACAAAGACGGTAATTATAAAGACCACAGATGGATAAATCTATAACGAAGGGAAGAAACCAGCCTAAAAAGGCTGAGAATACCTAAAATAAGAACGCCTCTCTCTCTACAGGGGATCACAGTTCCTCATCAGCAACGGAACAAGGCCTGATGGAGAAAGACTGTGTTCCATTAACAGAAGCAGGCTCTAAAAGGTGGATGATAAGAAACTTCTGGGAATTAAAAGAACTTGTTCTAACCTAATGCAAAGAAATAAGGTTTGACGAAATGTTAACAAGAATACACAAATTAGAGACGAATATAAGTGAATTAATGCAGCTGAAAAACACAACACGAGAACTTTGCGAAGTATGCACAAGTTTTAGCAGCCGAATTGATCAAGCAGAAGA